AGGTTATACGTCACAGAGACAATCACTCAAGATATATTTACTCGGCCTCCCCGTCAAAGCTGGATGTGACACAAGGCTGTTTTAATGTGAGGAGCGCCAGAAGTATACATATACGTATACATATGGGCCAAGAACAAACATTGTTGATTTGCTCCCACCCCCGGCATCGGTATTACACCCCCACTAGAGCAACGGGAAAGGTGCTGCCACAAGGTTGGAATCCCCCGGGTCTGAGCAACTTCTGTTATCTAAAATGAGGAGAAACATAGCTCCACGTAGAGCACGTTAGGCATAACCCCGCCTAAGTAGAGTCCCATTGGCTCCCGTGACCCTGAAGGTTACTAGCCTTAACCTTCAAAATTCCCCTTCAAAATCTTTATCTATGCAGCTTAAACAAAGCTCTCCCTGGAAAGATGTTGCATAAAACGAAACTTTCCACATTTGTCTATATTTCTGACCAGGCCTGCCCCACTCCGGTCTGAGTGCTTCGGGGTTGTAGGCCCTGGCCTTAATTGGATGGTTTAATGGCCCGATGAAGAGTTTTATGTGTCTAGACAATGGTGTATTTGGGGTCTACTAGAATACTGAAGAAAACTTACCGTAATTCAAACTCCAGAAACGATCACCAGATATCTTCCGAGAATTTGCAAATGATTTAAAGTTTTTAGTAATTTCTAGAACGTTCCTTATCTAAGTCCACGTTCAAATTGAAGGAAATTTATACTGAAAGGAAAATAGAAATGTGATGTTCATGAAACAAAAAACAAAATGTGAAGCATATGAAACATAACGGTGTGACGCAAATTAGACAAAAAAACATGATGCGAAGCACAAAGACGTGAAGCGCATGAAGGGGGCAATAAAGCACGTGAAACAAAATGCAAAAGCGTGAAGTGCATGAAAGAAAAATGTGAAGCGTATGAAACATAAGACAAAGACGTGAATCCTGCAAAACAAAAGTGTGAAAAATACAAAAGAAAACGTGAAGCACATGAAACAAAAAATAACATTTGAACTACATGAAATAGAAATAAAAAATAAATCTGTAAGCCACATGAAACAAAAAAAACAATATATAGCGCATGAAACAAATCCAAAAGTGTGAAACATAAGACAACACCGTGAAGCATAAGACAAAGACATGAAATGAAAAGAATGTGAAGAACATGAATCAAAAACAAAATACGAGGCACAAGACAAAAAACATGAAACAGAAGCAATGACGTAAAGCAGATGAAACATGAAACAAAAATGTAAAGTACATAAAACAAAAAATATGAATCACATGAAGCAAAAGTCAAATTATTGAAGAACACGAAACAAATAGAAAAAACGTGAAGCACACGAAACAAAACATATGTGAAGCACGTGAAACAGAATGACAATTATGTGAAGCAAATGAAACGAAAACAAAGATGGAAGGACGTGAAAATAAAAAATATGAAACACATGAAGCAAAAAACAAAAAGTATAGGCGCATGAAACAAAAATTAAAAAAAAAAAAACATTTTTTTTCTGAATCATCGTTTCTTTCATTTTCTGCAAAGTGTCTCGCCTTCATATTCTGCTATTCACCTCACACGTTCTGACCCACAGTCCAGTTTATCAACTGGGTTGTCTCTCCCTCATGTTCATTGTTCATGTCTGTCTATTTGTCTTTAACGTCGTAGCCGAATTTTTTCAAACCGAGAACGTAATTCTATTTGTGTATGCTTGCGTACACGCAAGCGCGCCTTCGTTTCCCTGACATACCACCACATCCATCCCTGCCATTTTTTATTTCTTACATGTGAGTCAATGGTGGCAGCCTTTAAAATTGACGAGCCACCTTTCGTCGAAAAAATCTGTTTTTTTTTTTTTCTTTCTTTTTTGAATAGTAAAAAAATAAAAAGAATCCCTCCACAAAAGCCATTTTGTATGCAACAAAGTTTTTAAGAATTATCGCCTCTTGTCTCGTATGAGTTTTAACATGTTATTGCGTGTGTGCGCGCGCGCATACACATATACATACACATATATGCACATACACTAAGACGCACACATACTCACACGCCCTTCACGTATACAGATTTGTACGTTTGAATATGCGGACGTTCGCCAATAGTGGAGGTGAGAATGTCTTAACGATTCAAGGAGCGAAAATCGGTCTTCAAATTTCAGCTGAGGTCATTCGTTTTCACTTCACACGTCGTGGAGACATGGATAGCGAAAGAAAGCGAGAAGAAAGGACTAAGCCTAAACTAAAATAACACTGAATGCATGGTTATCAGCAAAAGGGTGAGCCCAAAATGCCAATTACAGGTCGGGGATACTAAAATCAAGCAGGTAGTGAAATTTAAATATCTGGGAAGTGTTCTAACAGAGGACTGAAAGTGCGAAGCTGAAATCCGAAGACGTAATAGGATGGCCAAAGATGCATTCCAAAAGCTAAGCAATGTATTAAGAAACAGAAAAACTTCGTTAGAAACAAAGAAAAGAGTACTAAACTGTTAAGTGATATCTGTTCTCATATATGGCAGCGAATGCTGGACAGTCCCCTCAAAGATGAAGAAAAGAATTGAAATAACAGAAATGTGGTTCTACAGAAAGATGCTGAGGATAACATGAACTGAACATGTGAGCAACAACAAGGTTTTGGAGAGAATAAAAACAAAAAGGAAACTTATACTTAATATCAGGAAGAGTCAGTTGAGGTTTCTGCTGCACGTAATGAGGAAGGAGAGCTTAGAGAACCTGATACTCACAGGACAGATTTAGGGAAAGACGAACGGAGGAAAGCAGCGCATGACATATTTGATGAGCTTGAGCAAATGGATGGCAGAACAGAGTTTACGGGAAATAGCAAAAAGACAAAACTTATTAAGAACTACAAAGGACAGGACGATGTGGAGGGCCATGATCACCTACGTCCTGAAGGGACACGGCATATAAAAGTAGATATATCGTGGAGCGAACATGCGAGTAAGGACGACGTTTTAGAGAAAATGGAAATAAAAAAGACAACTAATACTTAACACCAGGAAGAAAGACTTGAGGTTTCTGGGGCACGTAATGAGGAAAGAGGGCTTGGAAAATCTGATACTCACGGGACAGATTGAGTGCAAGGGGAACAGCGGAAGACAACGCATAACATATTTAACGAGTTTGAGTAAATGGCGGACGGAACAGGGCTTAGGCGAAATAACAGAAAGACAAAATTTATTAAAAGGTACAAAGGACAGGAAGTTGTGAAGAGCCATGATCGCCTGCGTCCTGAAGGGACATAATACAGCAAGAAGATCAAGACAATGGTAACCAATCTAGGTTAAGAAAATCACTAAATTTGATCCGGATAAGCAAGAGACTGAAGCCGAAGCTGCATCACCTTCTGTGCTGCTGATGGACCATTCGCCATCGGATGATAGAAAAGCATTTACTTTAAAAAATAGTTTTCAGTATAATATAGTATCAGTGCGGTTTATGATGGGAGTAGATAGGATCGCTTATCGTCCAGTTCACACTCCTCTCCAGTCTTTTGAACAAGAGTAGAGATTTATCCCTTGTTTCCTCTTTAGGATTGGGTTTCCAGTTCCTTCTAAAGTCTACTTCAACTCTATATTTCTAACGTCTCCACCTAAACTCTGAAATTTGATTTTCTAATTATTTATTTATTTTTCTTCCTTCTCACTAGAAGTAGATAGGTTTGCTTCACACTCCTCTCTGATCTTTTGAACAGGAGTAGTTTATCCCTTGTAACCGCTTGAGAATACAAGCTCCTGTAAGCTCGGGTGTGCGGGTGACGTAATAAATAACGATTCCGAATTGGAAATCGAAGAACTGTGTTCCATTTCCAGTCGAGTTTGTTATATTCACTTACGCGCAAATAACCTTGGGAAAGGCATGAACCCATTTCTCTTCGAAGCTATCGGTTAATTAGTCGGTTAAATTCTTAATGCCTAAAAATATCTTTAAATAGTTTTAAATAACCTGCAATAGGTTGATAGCCCGAAAAAAAACAGCTGAATCAATCCTTGAAAATTATAAATAAATATCATTCGTGTCCATCAAGCATTATACAATGAAAATTTTAGATCAAAATTATGCTATATGTCTTCACTTACCCGCATAAATTGTACCGCTTACTCTGCAACCCTCTACCTCGAGTGGCTCCTGGACCTTGTACATGATGAACTTCACTGCAACAAAGTTACGTACTAAGTGATCGGGCTTTATGTCCACTCATACATGTCTTTGTCTCTCTCGAACAGTGTTTCTCACCCTTTGTTACTTCAGGGCCGTGCATTTGTCACCGTGCGTTAAAACTCTGGGGAGCACTTTAAATCGAATATAAAGAAAAATAAGCCATGAAATTTGAAAGAATCTCCTGAAAGAAAAAAGTATTTATTTTTTTCAGATATTACATTCCTTGGTGTCTAGCTTTTTAAAAATGAAGATTTTTTAAATATAAAAAAATTCATAAATAAATCTATTAACTTGTGGCGCACCTGGGCACCTTCCAGGGCGCATTCGCGCGCCCGGGCGGCACCAGTTGAGAAACGCTGCCCTAGAAAGAGGAAGAAAGAAATGTACGTGCCGATTTATAGAACAACGTTTTTTTTTATTTTGTTTTGTTTTAAATATTTTTATTAAATTATATTCTCGATTTTTTTCTGTTTTCCATTTTTTTTTTTTGGATTTTCTTTTTCGTTTCATTTTGATTTTCCCTTCAGTTCTCATTAATAAATTGTTTTTCTCTTTTACATTTGTTTTTTTGTGTTCGCTTTTTTTCCCTTCTATAACCATTTTCTTTCTTTTTTTCTCCTACGTCTTTCCTGCCACGGATTCTTCTTTCTTTCCTTAGAAGAACAGCTGTCCTCTTTCATGCCTTTGTTTCAATTTGCTTTTTTTCCTTCTTTTCTTCCGTTTATCTCCCTCCACTGTTTCCTTCTTTACTCATATTATTTCTTTCGTCTTTAGCTTCTTTATTATTGGGCTTCCCGTTTTGCACTTTTCAATTTGATATGATTACTTCTTGCTTTTCTTCTTTCTTTTCTTCTCTTTTTCTTTTTCCTCTTTTTCTTTTCTTTTTCCTTTTTCTCTTTTTCTTTTCTATTTCATCTCTTTTTCTTTTCTTTCTTCTGTTTTCATTTTTCTCCTTTTCTTTTTCTTCCTTTTCCTTTTCTTTTCTTTTGCTTTCATCTCTTCTCCTTTCTTCTCTTTTTCATTTTCTTTCTTCTCTTTTTCTTTGTGTTTCTTCTCGTCTCTTTCTCTTTCTTTTTCTCTTCTTTCTTCTTTTTTCTTTTCTTTTTTCTTCCCTTCTCTTTTTCTCTTCTCTTCTTCCTTTTTCTCTTTTGCATTTCTCCTTCTCTTCATTCTTTCTCTTTTCTTACCCTTTCGCTATCGCTTCTTCCGTCTCTTTTCTTTCTCCTTCTTCCCTCCTCTTTCTTCTCTTTTCTTTCTTTCTTTCTCTTATCCTTCTTACTTCCCTTTTTTCTCTTCACCGCCTTTCCTATTTTTTCTTGTACTTTTTCTTTTGTTTTTCTTTCAATCTCCATTTGCTTTCCTTTCTTCCTTTTTGTTTATTCTTTTCTCTTTCTTGTTTTTCTTTTTTTCTTTCTCTTCGATTCTTGTTATATATTCATACTTCTTTATTACCCCTTGTATATATATATATATATATATATATATATATATATATATATATATATATATATTTTCTCCGTGCAATGCTTTGTATTCAAGTCTTTTACTCTCAGTCTTTTGCCAGTGGGGTCGAGGGTCCTTTTCAATGTTTGTCAGATTTATGTTGTATCCCGTTGACATTCACGGAACTTCGGGGGTCGTGGGGTTAAAGCAAAAGTCAGGGAATTGGGCGGGGGGTGATGAAGACAAAAAGAAAACAATAATAACAATGAAAAAAGACAGAATTAATACAAAAAGTGACGACAGATTTATAAAGTGTGAATTTGAAGGGGTCGACATAAATTATCGCATATACACCCACAAGAATCTCGGACACAAACACACACCCATTTTATATATATATATATATATATATATATATATATATATATATATATATATATATATATATATGCGCTCAAGTACTGATGCTCAAAGATATCTTTCTGTTTATCAATAAATAAACCTATACAATATTCCTCACTATATATTGCGCACCTTTAATTTGTCAAGGAATATTTAGGGTAAAAATAATAATCTGCAACTGATGATTCAGCCATATTGTTTTTCGTCATTTTAACATTATTTTTGTTCCTGACCTGCAAGAAAAGATCAAACCATTACTTGTAAGAAGACAGACTGTATAGTTGTCAGCAAAATTGACAGCCCAAGTGGCAGTCTATGAATTGGAGATGCCATAATCAAGCAAGTAGGAAATTTTAATTATTTGGAGAAATTTTTAGCAGACGATGGGAAATGTGACACCGAAATCCGAAGATGAAGAGAATATGAGGCAACAGAGCTGGTTCTACAGAAGGATACTGAGAATACTATGTACAGAATATGTAAGGAAGGGGGAAGTTTTAAGGAAAATGAAAAGCAAAAACGCACTTGTAGTTTGGAAAGACGGCTTGGAGAATTTGACTCTCACGAGACACATTGAAGGCAAGAGAGGTAGCGGAAACAGTGACTACCCCCCATATACACACCCACCTAATGAGCTTGGGTAAGCGGAAGCCAGAACAGAAAATGGAGCAGGCAATAAAAGAATAAATATTGCTGCAAAATATAGACAGTCATAGAGAGCCGGAATTGATGGATTAACTTTCTTAGTAATCCTCTGTCCGACATCATATACGCAGATATGTTCGTGTTGATGATAGTCACATTAGTAAAGGAAAGCGAGAAGAAAGGACTAACGTTCAACTGTAAGAAGATCAAATGTATGGTCGTTAACGAGAAGAGCATCCCAAGACGCGAGCTATAAATTCGAGTGCAGGAATTTAACTCTCTGGAAAGAGTTATAGCAGACGATGGGAAATGCACCGAAATCCGAAGGAGCGTTGGGATAGCGAAAGGTGCCTTTCAAAGGCTAAACAAAGTATTAAGAATCAGGAAAATCTCTCGAGAAACAGGAAAATCTCGTGGGAAACAAAAAAATGTGTGATGAACTTCTGTGTATTATGCAAAGGATTACTGGACAATTTTCTCAGATTAAAAGAAGACATGAGATTAAAGAGATTTATCTCTACAGAGAATACCATGGACAGAGCATGTGAGTAAGGAGGAAGTTCGAAGAATAATGAAAACAAAAAAGACACACAAATTTAGAATCAGAAAATGACAGAGTTGAAGTTTCTAGCATAAAACTCCAAAAAGTTGACACTGGGCATATTGAAGGCTTATAGCCACATTACGTTGAAACACCTGTTCCCGTACGACCACTGACGTTAAGCAACGTCGGAACTGGTCAGTACCTAGATGGGTAACTGCTCGAAGACCCGGGTTCCAATTCGAGTTGGGTTCTTTATATTCACTTACGCGAATAGCCTAAGGAAAGGCATGAACCCATTTCGTCTCCTCCCCAGCTATGGGTTAATTAGTAAAACTAGTATCACTAAAAAATCATTATTATCTCAATAAACATATCTAAAAATATTTTCTGGCCTTGAATAACCTGCATAAGGGTTGATAAACCGTAGAAAAAATTGACATATTGAGGGTAAGAAGGAAGTAGTGGAGAGCAGTGAACTGACTCAGCGCGTAGAAATAGAAGAATCATAAATTATTTCTTTATAATTAGGTACTTCCAAAGATTCGTTAAAATATTTTAAATATGGATGCTCATTTAGGGCATTATCAGCAAATAAGTTTGGTAACTATAGTAAATTTAATATGTATTGGTAATTTTCTTGCATTTCTTCGGCAAGTCTTTTGGTAAGACTATAAAGCCAAAGTATCTAAAATTCAATAAAATATTCGAATGTTTTTAAATATTTAAAAATTATAAAGATTACAGAGTAGTTAAAACTGATCTAAAAAGCGTTTACGTTGTATTCGTCATAGTATAGGAGGCACGGTGGAGTAATGGATAGTGGCTCGGATTGAGGAATCAGAGAGCTGAGTTCGAATTCCAGTCGAATCTAGTACATTCACTTACGTGCTAATACCCTTGGGAAAGATATGAATCCTCTCCCCCCCCCTCCACCATCTATGGGTAAATAGCAGGACAGACCGGGTTCTATAGCCTTGGATGGCAACTGGCAAAGAAAGAAATATCAACCTACTGCGGGGGGGGGGAAATCTGCATGGTATGTAACTGACTGAATAATATATCTGTTATTTCTTCCTTAAATAAATTCCTGCAACATCAGACTGGCGATAAACGTGTCAACACCCATCACCGTGATATTTCAAATTAAAAGTAATATTTGTTTTAATTCAGATTAATTAGACTTTAAATTTTTCTCAATTAAGGTTTCAGAAAAGTATATTTTACTTTTGAAATATTTTTTTAATGAAGAACATTTTATTGTTTTAACAGATTTGTCAATATGGCCGATTTGAGTGATTTTGACCTATTTTTAGGTATCTCCCCAAAAAAGTGATACCTAAGCTTTAAAATGCATTTTTAAAATGAAAACTATTTCTTGAAGCTTTTGCTTTAGTTTTAATTCTACACTGATTAAATTTAATATTTCCAATAAGCAAAATACTTTGCTGTATTTCAAAACGAATTTAAATTGACTGGAATATTTTTTAAAAATCGCTAAAATGGCTAAAATCAACCAGATTGAAAAATATGTCAACACAACCTAATTCTCTTTTTAAGTCAAGTGTATTAAATGTAATAATGACTTGAATAGAAGGTAAACCGTGGTAGGGGTCTCATAAAACCTGCCCCAAAACACACGCTCGCAGACACTGAATGGCACAAAAAGTGACTATACACACACACAAATCTATAAACTTACACATTTCACATGCATTTATATACGAAAATATTTGTAATACACGCAAACAATCTTGGAAATTTTCATAAGTTGGTGTTTGTTTGCCGAAGGCGATGAAAAATTTGTTCGCAATCCCAGGAAAATATCGGCCTGAAAATTACTGCGTTTTTTTTTGGTCGACAAAATGGCTAGCCGCTAAATTGAAGGCCGTCGACTTGCAGCGCCTCTTCTTCGTGGCCTCTTTTTCGTATTGCCAGTTGAAAGCTTCTTGCACGCAGCCGACGGTGAAGTCATTTTTTTTTCTCTCTGGCAGTGGCCAATTCGAAAACGAGTCTGGTGACAGCCAGGCGGGCAACCGATGCACGTCTTCCCAACGTATTTTCCCTGGTTCTCCCTTTTCGAAACACGCGCCACGCCGGCGGTGCGCCAAGATGTCGGCCTCTGCACGGAAGCGACCATACCATTTCAGGGACGCTACGAATTGAGGAGGGGAGTCTAGAACAAGAAATCGCCTCAGAGAAAAATTGAAAGGAAATCATGCCTACAGAAATGCGCGTGTTTAACAATTATCTTTTTTTTTTTCATCATTAAACAGGCTGTCAGATTTTCTCATGCAAATCAATTGGTATTATTAACCAACCAATGTTGATAAATTCTAACAAAATATTCATATGATAAACATACATGATCATTTATTTTATAATATCAGTTTTTATTCGCAATATTCGCAATAGTTGGGTTGGGCAGCTCGATGTGGCGTAATGGTTAGCTAACAATTACAACCGAGTAGTAAAGTTTCGATATTCACTGAGTGCTCGATATTTTCGGCCTTAGAAAATCTCTATAAAGTAACGCAGGTCGTTTGCTTCGACGTGGCGTGGAGTAATGGTTAGCAAGCGTGTCTCGCTAAAACAATTAAAATTGTGTAGTGAGATCGATCCTCACTGGGTGCGCCGTACTTTCGGCTATATGCCGCATCTAAGCTACGTTTGGTAAATCACTGTGTGTATATGTTGTATAAGGTGACAATTGATAAAAAAAATCTTAGTTTTCTGCCGACGCGTTTCGTCTTCTGACTTTTTCAAGGCAAAAATGAAATCGAAATGTTTTTGTTGTTATAGTTACATTAAAAAAATCCAAATTTAAAAAAGAGAGACGCTTCTGTAGAAGCTTCTGTAATTTTCCTTTATACTAAGAGATTTTTTTTCTTTCCACGTACACAATATCTGGGAATTTAAAAATATAACTATATATATATATATACACGATATTTGGTTTGCAGGTCTGAAAGACTGAAGGCTATTTTTACAGCTTTCATGAAATAAAGATTATTACCTATGGTATTTTAAGTGTTTGATATTCATTAGTATATATATATATATATATATATATATATATATATATATATATATATATATATATATATATATATATATATTGTGTATATTTAGGCAGCAATTTTTCATTGATACATGTTTCATTAAATAATATTTGTCTATTTATTTTAAGTAAGTTCCTTTCATATTGTCTGATGTTTAATAACATTATCATTGAAAGACGAAAGGAAATCACCATATTGATACATGTTTTGAATGATAACTAACATTTTTAGGCATTTAAAACAACATGCCTGACCGCGTACACAATTCCGGAAAATCCTCGTTGAAAACACAACTATACTTAAACATGAAAATAATAAACAAAAACTGAAAATTCTTGAAGCTATATACATAAAACAGTTGAAACCTAACCTGAAAAGAATAAACTACGAAATTTCCACAAATATTCGTAAATATAATTGATAACAGAAGCATTGGTTTATACCAACGGCTTCCCATACTTAATACTACTCGTTTTCACTCTCGTGTGGTCATGAGTGATGTCACGAGCTGTGATGCGATTTTCGCTTCCGCGTTTCGTATACACGAGTTTGTTGTTGCTTGGAAATTTTTCATGCAACAAAAACAGACTATCATTATTGTTTCGTCCGTGTATTGTTTGATATACTGAAATGTAATTGTCATCTTTGATAATGGCTTATGTAAGCCGAAAGCTTAGATAGGATTAAAACATGTATCAATATAGTGATTTCCTTTCGTCTTTCAATGATAATGTTATTAAGCTTATCAGACAATATGAAAGGAACTTACTTAAAATAGACAAAACTTGTCTATATTATTTAATAAAACATGCATCAATATATATAAATATATATTGAACAATAAAAAATATTAAAAAATTAAAATCTTCAGACACACTGTATTGTATATTAATATTCTTTCGTTTTTACTATTATTTCATTTAGATTCCTCGATTAGTTTCGGCCAACATGGCCAGCACCAGGAGAAAAAAAAATTATGCTTGCTGGTAGCAGTAAACTACAGAAATTAATGTCTTGGTGGAGAAAATGAACTTTTGTATAGTTTTCATTTTCTTTATTTTTTTAACGTGAATTTTGGTCAGGCCTTGTATTGGTCAAACAGTCCCTTTTAAGTTATTATTTAAGATAAGAGCTGGATGGATTCATGCTGCTCTCTCTCTCTCTCTCTCTCTCTCTCTCTCTCTCTCTCTCTCTCTCTCTCTCTCTATCTTTATATATATATATATATATATATATATATATATATATATAAGTGAACATAGAAGTCAACTGTCAGGTGACAGTCTGTTTCATGCTTGTTGCAATCGTCGTGGCCTGACGATTGCGTCTAGCATGAAACAGACTGTCGCTTCTAAGTGTTGACTTCTATGTTCACGTTTATATTTACACGCTCTATCTCTCGAAAGGACTACAGGAAATATAAATAATAATGTTAGACCATCTCGGACACGGAGTATGTTGATGGCCAAGCAAAGTTAAATATTGCTTTTAAACACAGATTTCGAGTGTAAGAGAAAAAATAGCGTTTAAAGCCACTATTCATGAATAATTATTGATAATTACTTTTCTTTTCAGATAAAAAAAATTGTTATAGATTATAAGAAAGATATAATATCAAAGAGAAACGATCTATTTTAAAGTAGGTACCCCCCAAAAAATGAACTTGTGGTTTAAAATGCATTTTAAAAATGAAAAATATTTTTTGAAGTTTTTATTTTAGCTTTAATTTCAAGGTAATAGATCAACTTTAATATTACCAATATGCAAAATACTCTGCTGTATTTGAAAACTAATTAAATTCATTGGAATGATTTTTTTCCAAAATCACTAAAAATCGCTAAAATTGGCCAGATTGACAATTCTGTCAACACAACGCAATTCTCATTATTAAAAAAATAAAAAATAAAATATACTTTTCTGGAACTGTATTAGAGTAAGGTTAACTGATTTAAAGTTTAAAACTGTCAATACTTACTTTAATTTCAGTGTGTGTGTGTTTTTTTTTATTCTTTCAACTTTGGTACCTCCTTGAAAATCGCTAAAAAATGAGTATAACATGATCTAAATGACGCCAAAGTTGCCGAAAACAAAATTTTATCGTCTAAATGTTTATGTTATTATTAAGAGGAAAGAACAAAGTATTTTTTAATTATCTTTAAAAAAATTTTCCTTCTTTTTAGAACATTCTAAATTTTGATTGAACAAAACCTTGTTTCTCTTTGTACCAGCGGAACTACAAAATAAAATAATATAAAATTTCAGCGCGTTTTTTTTTCTCTGTATGAGACATTAATTTTGAAAATCTTGCAAAAATAAAAATAATTGTCGGATTTTAATGAAACTATTCACAAATGATGAAAATTATGTTTTCCTTTTTTAAAGTCATGACAATTTTTTTTTTATTTTATATCCCCCCACCCAACTGATTTTACGAAAACTCTATAATTTCAGTTTTGGACAAATTAGTTATTATATTAGTTAAAAGCATAAGGCTTTGAGGAAACTAAATTATGATCATTTTTTTTTTCTTTTTTTGTTTTTTAGAACAACTCCAACTGAAAATCATCTCTGAATTGTATCATACAAAAATCAATAAAACAAAGATATTATTTAATTTCAAATGCTTTTAATTGTTTTTATTTGTTTTAATGAATATTGATAATATTGTCTGAAAGCAAAATTTTTCGATGAAAAATGAATTTTTAAAACAATTATTTGTATTTCTTAAACTATTTTATTATTTTTAAATTAAATGTTGTTAATTCTTCTAAAATTAGTGAAAAGTCTGTACAATTTAGTCAATGGTATTAATACATAGATCTATAACTTCAGATTATAATTTCTAAAGTTTCTTACAAACTAACGAACACCAGTATATAAAAAATATATAATTTGTGTCCATAAAAACGATTGTAATTCTAATCTACGGAAGACCAGAACTATCATGAATGCAATAAAAAAACGTCACGTGTATTGAGTTTCTGTCTAGTATTTAAGGGTTGTTTTCCACTGTTTACGGCTTTATTTTTACAAATTGTCCGTGCGAAACACGTGTGGAGTATTTTATTTTCCGTTTTTATTAAAAAAAAAAAAAAAAAAAAGAAAAAAAAAACATTTAAGATAAGACAATGTCGTCTACTAGGTATTTTTGTCATCACCTGGGGTCACGAGGTGTTAAAAAACAAAACAAAACACATCAAGCCATTGTTCAAACATAGGTTTGAAAAAAAAAAATTCATATCAAGCCTTTATTACAAATATTGTCCCCTTTTTTTTTTTCTTTTTTTTTAACTCTTTGCACTTATCATATAAGTGGTGAGATTTACAAACTGATGAAAGCTTGTTCTCTCACTAGCCGGCTGGCCTTTGACCCAGACATTTCAAAATCAATTTGGTTTAAATTTCCTTATTGCTGCTTTTTTTTAAAAAAAAAACAAAACAAAACAAAAAAACAATGTTTTATCATAGCAGATCTGAATTGACTTTATTTAAGTTTTTTCTTTTTACTTTAATAATTACGTGGTACTAGATAAGCTGGTTCACTTAAAAATATCAGTTCTGTCCTTCCGTATGATAACTCGAATCTCACGTTAGCTGTCAATACGTGATGAATGTCATCATTTAGCTGAATCGTCAACGATGTTAAGATCGGCTCCCTTTTCTTTTAAACATCTTTCTGCGAAGAATGTATGTAAATTTTTTTTTCAAAATATATTTAAATTAACTTTAAATTTTCTAATTTTCTTCAAATAAATTTTGAAAAACGTATAATTTTTGGACGAGTTTTAAACGAGGAATTTTAACTTAGTTTACAAAATTTTAAAAAAATGGCTGACATGAGTTTTTTTAGTAATTTCGCTGAAAAAAAAAAAGATTTTTAACTAAAATTTCGGACATGCAAAAAATGAGTAAAAGATTTCCAAAAATAATCAAAAAATACTTTGGTATTTCTTCTTCTTAATGAAAAAGGCAATAAAGCCACTAGGACGCAAGGGGGTTACTGGGTGCTAGTGAATATAAGAAAACTACTATTAAGGACAGAAGACAATAAAAGAACAAGAATTAAGAAGACAGAAGATAACGATTGACATTGCATTTTAATTTTTGAAGATCAAAGTTGACTGGGAAGGAAGAAGCCGGAAGTGAGTCCTACAAGTGAGAAGGATGAGAAAATAAATTGTTAGCATAAAACTTACGGTTATATCGAGCGATTTCAACAGTAAAATGAGACTTTGCCGACAATCTTTTAATGCGCTTGAATTCATTAAAGTCTTAAAATGAACAAGTTATTTCTTGCCCCAGTTAACAACAGATTGAAGGCATTTTTGAGATCAGCTGTCAACTGATCAAATTTAATATGAAGACATTTATTGATAACTTATCTTTTGTCATTTTTACGTAAAGAGCATTGAAATAATAATTATTGTAATATGTGAACCTCTATTATACATACTTTTTAACTACCCAGTAAACTTTAAAATTTAGGAAAAATATTCTAAGTAATCTAATATTTTATTTAAATTTTAGGTACATTAACTTTTTAGTCTTACTTACTAAGATGCTTTCTGAGGAAATGTTAGAAGATTACCAATAAATTTTTAATTTACTAGAGTTCCTGCTATTATTTTCTGATAATGTCGTGTATGGACGTCCGTATTTACAAAAAAATCGGCACGTTTATACATACACACACAAAAAAACCCCATCAAAATTCATTTTTAAAATTCTGGGGCCACTGAATTGTAGTAAGATTTTCCATTTATGATTAGTAAATATAGTTTTTATTTAATAATAATATCACTTGACCGTTACAAATGAAGACATACTTTTAAAAGACTTAAAAGTTAATAAATTATTCTAATTAAAATTTTTAAAAAATGAAAACAATTCTTGTAAAAATTCATTATTCATCGGATTTTTTTTTCGTAAGACAATAGTGCGCGTCTACATCTCTGAGATGATTACTTACATTATTTATATTATTCGGACTGTTAATTTTATCTTTATTGCTATATTCACACTGTTTCGGCCGCTATACACTCCGGTCTTCTTCTGGTGATTGAAATTTCGAACCGAATCCTTTATTTCGTTCACCGGGGTAGATTGTTCTAGTTCTAATCATCAGGAAGTGGCATGTTACGTGGAACTAGAATAATCCACTTCGGTGGATGATATAAAGGGTTCGGTTCGAAATTCCAGTCATCTGAAGAAGGCCGGAGCGTACAACGGCCGAAACGTTGTGAATATGGCAATGAAAATGAGGATAACAGTCCGAATAATGTAAATAATATAAGTAACAGTAGTGCTCATAATATATTTTATTCTTAAAAGCATTTAAAGCTTTTCTAATTAAATAATGTTACAGTTTTATTGCCTTATTTATTTTACCATTCAGAAAATTTTTGTTTTAATTACCAGAATGATTACCAAAATGATTCTAAATTCATGCCATCGACACCAGCTCGTGTACCTCCACAACTGTGAACTTGTGCCGTACCATCTAAGTTTAGTATCTATCTATCTATCTATCTATCTTCATAACTATTTGGTGGATTGAGCCTATTCTTGTACAAGGCCAATTTTAAAGAGTTCTCTCAATAAGCAAAGTATGAAAGCCAGTATTTTGAATGTAAAGCTTCTAACAACGAGTGATTTGTTCATGTACTTTTAAAAGTCAGTCCTTTGTGTATTTTTGCCCATGACTGTGTCTCATTCCTCGTCGTCAATACACAAAAGACGTCCCCACACGTCCAGCAATCCCAGACACGTATCAACTACGACACGCACAGAGCGATATACATGCTTGCGCGCCCGCAAAAAGAGATAAAGAGACTGGGCAAAAGAGCGAGAGACAGGGACATATATTTGGCCCGCTCTGCAGACTCCCAGTCGACCTGTGTGTAGGGGAACTTCTCCGCCTTAAAACCGATCAAGTTTGAAAGGGGTCAGCTTTTATAATGTGTGCCTTCGACATTTTGACGCCCACTTGGGTGCCGGCTAAAGGACAAGATTCAAAATACCGTAAAAACGACAATGGAAGCTGAGATACAAATAAGTCTTACGACAGTCATCTCTTTCTTTCTCTCTATCTCCCCTCCTCCCTCTTTCTCTCTTATTTATCCCCTTCCCTGCTCCTCTCTTTTCTTTCTCTCTCTTTTCTTTCTCTCTCTTTTCTTTCTCTCTCTTTTCTTTCTCTCTCTCCCTCTCGCCTCCTTTTCTCTTTCTCTCCCCCCTTTCCATTTCTACCTTTTTATCTATTTTTATGCAAAACTTACTGCGTCGCATCCATTACAATTCGACATTTCTTCCCGTCGGCTTCTGTCGCTTTTGTGTGTGAGGAGGATGTGCTTGAACTTTCAGATTGGGTTTGCCAGAATATCTTGACGTCAGATGGCATTAGGAGGGTTTAGTTTTAACTAAATGTACAAAAGATTGAAAATTTGTTTTGTGCATTTCAAAAAATAAAAGAATTTTAAATTATCACATTTATGCTTATTGGATCTAATACGATGGTTTTTAAAATATTATTTTTTGCCTAGTACAAGGCCCAAGAGCCACTCAAAGTGGAGGGTTACTGAATGCGGTTAATGTAAGGGGGTAAAGGGAAGATGTAACAAGTGCATATTATGATGATAAGCAGGATATATAATTATTGACCCTAGACTTGAAGAGGTTGAGATTATAGTAATTTAATTTGGTTTGTTTGTTTAACGGCATATCAACTCCTTCATGGGTCATTCAGTGCTGAAATTTAATTTTCTTGAGAGCTTTGAAGTAATAAAAATATATGTTCTTCTGCTTTCACATTTGAATACATGGTAGATGATACTCAGCTTTTGTACATGTACAGGTCTGTGTGGACATAATTACTAGCGGCGGTGATATGTGTGTTTTGTGTTGTAGTTTTGTTGAAATTATATTTTGAAATACAGTTTGATTTAAGAAATTGTAGGATATTATATGGATTAATGTCATGAAAGAATTCTTGCATGCTGATTGATGTATTGTTGGTATTTTTATTATAAAAATTATATTCATACTTTCATAGTGTTTTGTTTTTGTTTGAGGGTTCATTATTTGCCCATAGCGGGGACCCAAACAGGTACTACCACCCAGGTTTAAGGTGGGCCTGAGAACGTCAGCAATTAAAAGGTAGTTCCACAGCTGCAATCTTCCGAGCAGAGGCCTTGTCGGGTGTATTCTATAGTCATAGCCAGGACTAGATTGTAGTAGTCTGGGAAATATCATCCCGTGAGTCTGTTCTAGAACATAACATTTCTGGTGAAGAGTTAAATGGAACTCCCCCATTACTAATGGTATACAAAGGAATTCTCGTAAAGATAGAGCATGGCCGTACAAGTTAGTTACTTTCTGAATCAATACAAGGAACTGACCATTTTTCTAGTACCTTTAGCAATGGATAGAGACTCGCTTAATTTCGGTACATTATAATTTTTATTTTAAGAATTGTAAAAATTCAGTAAAAAATTGTTCAGTTTAAGGCGAAACTATTGTAAATAATCAACAGTAAAGGTAATATTAACTGTTTCCTTATAAGGAAACATTCGGCAGTCATTGACTGAACAGCCAGTGTTACTTTTGGTTGAAATTTATCTTTCTCTTGAAACAGATTTTCAGGAAAATAAGTTTCTCAAGTATACTTTTATCGTTCTTTCAAGTATTGATGGCGGTTTCCTTCCTAACCTTTTGTTTGTGGCAATGTGGAATATCGATATCATTATGTCATTATTTTCTCTTTGTAATATATGTGCTATACATTTTAGTTGTTGTTGCTGTTGAAAGTTATTCTAGTCGAATCTATTAAATTATTTACGTGCTAATACTTGGGAAAGATATGAATCCTCTTCTCCCCTCCCCACCAGCTATGGGTAAATAGCATGTCAGACCGGGTTCTGTAGCCTCGGATGGCAACTGGTCTACCGTAGAAACAAATGACAACTTACTGGGGGAAAATCTGCCTCGAAAGATACATGATCGCCTAAGCGTGTATCATGCATGGCAGATAACTGACTGACTGGGCGTCAACCCACAAAGTTCGATGGACAGTACTCGCTAAGATCTGCAGGTTTTATTCGCTCGAAGCCATTTTTAACCATTGATCGGTGAAAGCAGATATATACAACTGACAGTTTAGATATTTCTAACGAGTTTGTCACCATGCATCACATCCATATGAATGTCTAGATTTGACAAGGTTATTTAAGAATATGACTCGAGTTTTCAGGTTAATGTTTTGTTGCATTTTGTGTTGTTGGATGAAACTGCGCCTAGCGCAGCCTATTCTATGTTCAGTTTCCTTCTCTCCCAACTAAATTCGTTATAACTTATCCATACACTGACTTATTTGTAGTGTTTAGCATTTATTTATTCCATATACTGAATTTTAATGACGGCTTCAGGCTACATGCCATCACTGCTTTCATCCCAATTCCAGACCATAATTTCTGTTTTAGAAAGTTTACTCTGTTATCAGTAGCATGAAGAAGAGGGATTGTGGCAGAGTGTGCAACTGCCCCGGGCATCCATATCAGCAGGCATCCAATCAAAGAAGGAAATAAAATTTTCATTTTTGAAATTTGAAATTGTCTCTAATAACCTCGTTGTACAATCGCCCTACAGTTCCACAAGGTGGGGTGAATGTGGACCCATGTTTTGATAATCGAGACTGTAGTAGGCCTCCATACTTGAGTCTTAGGGACATAAAATCAAGGAGTTAGACCCAGGCATCACCAGTCGTCTGTGCATTACTGCCTTTTATTCTGTGAGTCCTGATTTTTGGTATATTTGGTAGAAAGTGTTGATTTTTTTTTTTTTGTCTAAGGTCATTCTTAGATGGATTCCTATGTCATCGACATTGCCTCTTTCATCATCAGTACATCAACAGTGTTAGACGTTTTGTGCTAAGTATTAAAAATTTCTCGTTAAACGACGCTCCACAGTAGAGTAGAAAAACTGATGTTAATAATACAAAAGCATACCAATAATCAAATGCATTGCCAACATACACAAAAATACCCACATAATTGTAGTTGAAATTCGAGAGACGATATTCAGTCAAAACACGAGAGTGTCATGTGGCACAAGGCCTTTTTAACGTGGGCATTCCGAGCCCGTGGGCTCGGCCAAAAATATGCCCATTGAATCCGTATAAACGGGTTCAGGGCCGGTCTATCTCCCCGAAAGAGACTCCGCCCTTCGGCGTAGCCTCCTTCGGGTTCCTCCCGTCCGTAGGAAGAGAGTTTAACCGAACAGTCGCTCAGAAAGTACTGGGTCGACTGACTCAATATTCGAGAAATTCGAGAGACTGGCCTCAATTCCTTAGTAGGCACTAATCCTGAGTGACAAAGTGTAGATGTTGTATTTGTCGTATTGTCTCGTTATCTTTCGTACATTGCATATTTATATTCTCTCAAATCTCGTGGTCACCGTGATTTTGCGTCCATGCGATTTTTTTTTTTTAAACTACAATAATCTATTGAATATCATTTTTAATTGGTACTGCATATCTGAAGACGGATTGGGATCGCCAAGGATGCATTCTAAAATCTGGCCAGGGTACTGCGAGACAGAAGGATTTCTTTGGTGACAAAGAAAAGAATACTGAGCTGCTACCTGACATCTCTCCTCCTATAAGGCATCGAATGTTGTACGGTCTCCACAAAGATGAAGAAGAGACTCGAGGCAGCGGAGATGTGATTCTACAGAAGAATACTAAGTATATCTTGAACCGAGCGTGTGAGCAACGATGAGGTCTTGGAGATAATGCAAACAAAGAGGAAGCTTATACTTAACATAAGGAAGAGGCAGCTGAAATTTCTGGGACACGTAATGAGAAAGGAGAGTCTGGAGAATCTGATACTCACAGGTCAAATAGAGGGAAAAAGAGACAAGGGAAAGTAATGCATGACATACCTTGCAAGCTTAGGCAAGTGGATGGCAGAACATGGTCTTGGAGAGGCACGAAACTTATTGAGAGCCACAAGGGATATGGGGAAGTGGAGAACCATGATCGCTTACGTCCTGAAAGTACACGACACATAAAAAGAAAGAAAGACTGCATAAATTTAACTTTAAAAAGAGCCTGTAAGGGGTACGATAGCAAGGATTTATTTCGTCGGTCCTAAGGTAACAACGCGTTTGACTATAAAAACAAAAATAAACACAAGCACCGGACAAACAATAGCTATTATAGAAGTTTATAGAACATACAATACCTATTACAGAAGTTTATAGAATATACAATAGCTATTATAGATGTTTATAGAATATACAATAGCTATTTATTCGGCGGAACACTGAGAAAAAGAAAAAGGATGAGTCTGTCAGAGCAATTAATTCATTGTGGTCACAAATTACACGTGTATGCTTTTTGGGATCGTATTTGGTTTTAATCTGCAAAACTCGTACTTACAAATAAATACAATTATCTATCGGTGGAACGTTAGTTCTCGTGTTAAATTCCTTGTCCGGGAGTAATGAGTGGAATTTGCGGTGTCGGTGTGTCGTGCAGATATATTGTTCTCGGTCTGTCGATTT